TCTTCTTCAAGAATTCCTTGCCTAGGCCAATGTCTGAAAGGATCTTCCCAACATCTTCATTTAGAATTCTTAAGGTTTCATGCCTTAGGTTTAAGTCTGATATACATCTTGAATTGATTTTTGTGAGAGGTGAGAGGTGGGGGTCTAGTTTCAGTCTTCTGCATGTAGTTAAGTAGTGTATTTAAACACATTCTCAGAATTAGACAAATATTAAGTCCAAAAAAGGATTTTAAATATTTAAATAACATAACTAATCAAACTTTTTTAATGCATAAAAATACTTTATAAGTACAACCAATACCATCTTTTTCAAGGTTTATATATGATGTTTATCCATTAAATAAAGAATAGAACAAGAATTATCATTAGTATTTACAACTATTCTGGAAATGTTAATATCAGATAAGAAAAAAGTTATACAAATACTGAAAAGTAAAAATTATCATCTCTTGCAGATATGCTTTTCATTCATTTAGTTATTCCATACTGAATACTAAATACTCCTACAAGCTAACCTAGCCCACATATGTCAACCCTCACCCATTTTATTTAGGTTTGAGGTATTTCTATTTTCCTATTCTGACCCTTGCTGATTTGCTTGTTTCTAGTAACAATATCAGTTGATGCAATCTTGTTTTCCTGTTTCTCTGATATTCTACTACTTCTGCTCTAGTTGAAGTGAGTTGAACAGTTTGACAACTGTTTTATGCTTTGTTCTAGTAACACTTTCTCTGAAACATGTTTATGTTCAACTAAAAATCTGTATTGAACCATTTCGAAATGAAGAGGCTTTTAAAGTAATTTTTTTATTTTAAAACATTTTATACCTTAGGATTTCATTCTTTATGAAACATACACATGCACACAGACACACACACACAACTGATCATTACTTTACTCATATAAAAAATAAGACTTACTTGGTTCAGAAACCAGGCTTGTCCACTCAAATATTTTAGAGGCATGGTTTTGTAAAAGAAGTGAACATTCATTTAATCTTGACTCCATGACTATGATTGATTCAAATATTTGAGGGACATTTTCCCATAGATGTGTATAAATTGAAATAAATGAACTATCTTCTTTTATTCTGTTCAGAGTACGTGACCATTCATCATCATCTGTAAAATAGATATCCTTTGGCCAATAATCCTGCAAAAAAATGTGAAAGAGACAATACAACTTAAGCAATTTTTAATGAATGTAAATGATAGAGTTCAAAACCAATGAGCTAAAATTTGAGATTTCATCCCACAGCACTATCTTTATTAAACATTTAAAAAATTTGAAATAATTATAAACCTTACAAAAACTATTTTTCTAAATCATGAGAATAAGACGCTTATGTGATAGTCCATCATCTTTTAAAAATTTAGTATATATTTATGAAAAACAAGAACATTCTTCTAAATAATCACAATGTAACCACTGGTGTCAGGAAATTGGCATTGATACATTGTTTCTATCTAATCTCCAGACTCTAGTCAAGTTTCAACTGAAGCAATAATATCCTTTATAGCAAAAGAATATAATTCAGAATCAAATATTATTTTTAGCCTTCATGTCTCTTTAGTCGCTTTCAGTCTACAACAGTTCTTTAGTATTTTGGGGGAGGAAAGAGGGAGGATTAGGAGGCAGAATTTTTATTTATGTTTAATTTTTTCTAGCTTAACTACAGTATAATTGAAAAATAAAAATTGTGTGTATTTATGGTATAAAATGTGGTTTGATAAGTGTATACATTGTGAAATGATTGCCAAAATAAAACTAATTAAGGTCTCCATTACCTGACATAGGTTTTGTTTTGTGGTGAGAACACGTAAGATATATTCTCTTAGCAATTTTCAAGTATACAAAACATTATTAACTATAATCACCATGCTGACCAATAGCTCTCCAGAATTTACTCATCACGTTTAACAAACTTTGGACCTTTTAACCCATTTCTCTCCCTTCCCCAACAAGCCCTTGCCAGCTACCATTCCACTCTCTATTCCTATGAGTTCCATTTTTATAGATTTCACATATAACTGAGATCATCTAGTAACTGTCTTTCTTTTTTAAAAATATTAATTTTTCCGTAGATTTAGGGGGTACAAGTATTTCTTGTTATATGGATGAATTGTATAGTGGTGAAGTCAGGGCTCTTAGTGCATCCATCACCAGAATAGTGTACATTGTACACAATAGGTGATTTTCAATCCCTCACCCCCTCTCGCCCCCCTCTTTTCTTAATTTCCAATGTCCATTACACCACTTTATGCCCACATATACTCATTATTTAGCTCCCAGTTGTAAGTGAGAACATGTGGTATTAATATTTGTTTTTCTATTCCTGAGATACTTCACTTAGGATAATGGTCTCCACCTCCATCTGAGTTGCTGCAAAAGACGTTATTCCATTCCTTTTTATGGTTCAGTAGTACTGCATGGTTTACACACACACACACACACACACACACACACACACACACACATACACAAACACCACATTTTCTATCTCCACTCATTAGTTGATAGGCACATAGGTTGATCCTTTATCTTCGCAATTGTAAATTGTGATGTGATAAACATATGAGCGAAGGTGTCTTTTTGATATCATGACTTCCTTTCCTTTCGATAGATACTCAGTATTGGGACTGCTCTATTGAATGATTAGTCTCCTTTTAGTTCTTTGGTAAATCTCCATAATATTTTCCATAGAGGTTGTACTAATTTACATTCCCACCAACCAGTGTATAAGCATTCAATTTTCACTATTTCCATGCAAACATCCATTGTTTTTTGACTTATTCATAATGGCCATTCTGACAGGGATAAGGTGGTATCTTATTTACATTTCCATGACAATTAGAGATGTTGGGAATTTTTCAATATGTTTGTTGGGCATTTGTACATTTTCTTCTGAAAAAAATATGTTCATGTCTTTTGCCCACTGTTGATGAGGTTATTTTATTTTTTTTCTTACCGATTTGTTTAAGTTCTTTGTAGATTCAGATATTAGTTCTCTGTCAGATGTAGTCTGTGAATATGTTCTCCCATTCTGTAGGTTTTCTGTCATTCTGTTGATTATTTCCTTTCCTGTGGACAAACCTTTTAATTTAATTAAGCACCATTTATTTAGTTTTGTTGTTGCTGTATTTGTATTTGGGGACTTAGTCATAAATTATTTGCTTAGGCCAATGTCTAGAGAGTTTTTCCTGTTTTATTCTACAATTTTTATGGTTTCAGGTCTTACATTTAAGTCTTTAATTCATCTTGAGGTAATTTTTGTGTACGATAAGAGATAGAGATTCAGTTTCATTCTCCTGCATGTGGCTATCCAGTTTTCCCAGCACTGTGTATTGAATAGCACATTCCTTCTTCAGTGTATGCTTTTGTCTGCTTTGTTAAAAATACATTGTTTGTAGATATATGGCTTTACTTCTGGGTTCTATAGTCTGTTCCTTTGCTCTATGTGTTTACCTTTATAACAATACTGTGCTGTTTTGGTTACTATAGCCTTGTAGTATAATTTGGAGCCTAATAATGTTATGCCTATATTTGTTCTTTTTGCTTAGGATTGCTTTGGCTATTTGGGCTCTTTTGGGTTCTATAAGAAGTTTAGGATCATTTTTTCTAATTCTGTGAAAAAGACCTTGGTATTTTGATGGAAATTGCAATGAATCTATAAATCATTGTGAGCATTATGGACATTTTAACAATATTGAGTATTCTTTTTATTTTTTTTATTTTTTTTGAGACAGTGTCTCACTCTCTTGCCTGGGGCGAGTGCCATGGCATCAGCCTAGCTCACAGCAACCTCAAACTCCTGGGCTCAAGCGATCCTCCTGCCTCAGCCTCCCAGGTAGCTGGGACTATAGGCACCCGCCACCATGCCTGGCTAATTTTTTTTTCTATTTTTAGTTGTTTGGCCGATTTGTTTCTATTTTTTAGTAGCGACAGGGTCTCGCTCTTACTCAGGCTGGTCTCGAACTCCTGAGCTCAGAACGATCCACCCGCCTCTGCCTCCCAGAGTGCTAGGATTACAGGCGTGAGCCACCGCGCCCGGCCAATATTGAGTATTCTAATCCATAAACATGGGACACTTTTACATTGCTTGTGACATCTATAATTTCTTTCATCAGTGTTTAGTAGCTCTCCTTTTAGAGATCTTTTACCTCCTTAGTTAAATTTATTCCTAGGCATTTTATTTTCTTTGCAGCTACTGTAAATGCTACTGAGTTCTTGATTTGACTCTCAGCTTGACTGCTCTTAGTGTACAGAAATGCTACTGATTTGTGTACATTAATTTTGTAACCTGAGACTTTATTGAATTTATCAATTCTAGGAGTATTTTGGAAGTGTCTTTAGGGTTTTCTAGATATAAGATCATATCATCAGCAAATAGGAACAGTTTTATCTCCTTCATTCTGATTTGGATGCCCTTTATTTCTTTCTCGTGCCTGATTGCTCTGGCTAGGACTTCCAATAGTATGTTGAGTAGACATGGTGACATTGGGCACCTTTGTCTTTTTCCACTTCTTTGGGAGAATGCTTTAAACTTTTCTCCATTCAGTATGATGTTGGCTGTGGGTCTGTCATATATGGATTTTATTATTTTGAGGTATGTTCCTTCTATGTTTACTTTGTTGAGAGTTTTTATTATGAAGGCAGGGTGTATTTTATCAAATGCTTTTTTTTGCATCTACTGAGAAGATCACATGGTTTTTGTTTTTATTTCTGTTTATGTGGTGAATAACATTTATTGATTTGCATATGTTCAACCGTTCTTGCATTCCTGAGATAAAACCCACTTGATCGTGGTGAATTATATTTTTGATGTGCTATTTGATTTATTTTGCTAGTATTTTCCATCTATGTACATGAGGGATATTGGTCGGTAGTTTTCTCTTTTTTGTTGTGTCCTTTTCTGGTTTTGGTATCAGGGTGATACAGGCTTCAAAGAATGAGTGAGGGAGGATTCCCTCCTTCTTGATGTTATGGAAAGGTTTCAACAAGATTGGTGCAAGTTATTCTTTTTAAGTCTGGTAGAATTCAGCTGTGAAACCATCTAGTCCTGGGCTTTGTTTTTTTGTTGGAACATTTTTTATTACTGTTTCAATCTTGCTAATTATTGGTCTGTTCAGCACTTCTATTTCTTCCTCATTCAAATTTGGGAGGTTGTATGTTTCCAAAAATTTATCCATTTCTTCTAACTTTTCTAGTTTGTGTGCGTAGAGGTTTTCATATAGTCTTTGATGGTATTTTGTATTTCTGCAGTATCAGTTGTAATGTTCCCTTTTTCATTTCTCATTGAGTTATTTGAATCCTTTATCTTCTATCCTTGGTTAGTCTATCTCGTGGTCTATTGATTTTGTTTATCTTTTCATTGGACCAACTTTTCATTTCGTTGACCTTTGTATTGTTTTATTGGTTTCCATTTTGTTTAGTTCTGCTCTGATCTTTGTTATTTCTTTTCTTTTGCTAGCTTTGGGTTTGGTTTGTTCTTGTTTTTCTAGTTCCTTGAGGTGTGCCATTTGGTTGTTACTTTGTGTTCATTCTGCCCTTTTGATGTAGGCATTTAATGCTATGAACTTCCCTCTTAGCACTGCTTTTTATGTATTGCAGAGATTTAGTAACTTGTGTTGCTTTTGCCAATCAATTCAAAACATGTTTTAATTTCCAATTTGATTTTGTCATTGACCCAAGGATATTCAGCAGCAGGTTCTTTTCATTTTCATGTATCTGTGTAGTTTTACCATCCTACCTGAATGACATGCTTGAGTCCTGGGCAGACCAAGACTGAGCTGGCAAACTTGCTGTCAATCCTTCCTGGGTCCAGGTACTGGCTGTGATAGTAAGGGTTGGGGTGCTCTGCTGTTCCAGAAGAATGCTCAAGCAGGAGACTGTGAGTCTGAGACAGGAAGGTCAGGCCCCTCTTGATAAGATCAGTAGAGGTGGGCAGCTGTGGGACATACAATCCACTCATACCTCTCTCTCTTGGCAATGGCAGCAGTCTCTGTCCTTTGGAGGCACAAAAGTGCCCAGATTCCCAGCTCCCAACCTGGGCCAGCTGCAACAGAGGTGGTGGAGGCAGCTCAACCACTGTATGTGGGGTTACCAGACTGGGTATGCACTGTGGCTGAAGTGCTTCAGCAGTGGAGGTGTGG